AGGAATTGCAATCAATTTGAATTTCTTGGAAACAGCTCAGGTGCTAGGAGCTTTACTTGAGGCTTGTAGATTTCAGTTCCCTGTAGAATTTTAAAGTTGAGTAGTCACTTACAAAGGAACAAATACGCTCTTGACCTCTGAGTTCTCAATTTTATTTTTATTATTTTCCAAAAAAAAAAAGCGACAGTTTAACTTTATCTACTGAATCTGTAGCCTTTTGTCTGGAAGTGTTCAGCTCTGCATTCTCAGCCACAGATTTGTTCTGTTCTAAAAGCAGGACGTAATAAATGCATTTGTTTTAGAGAGAAAAGTTGTATTTGCATTTAGGTAAATCTTGCTTTCTTTAAATGTAACTGTATGATGCCTATCATTTCTGCCCTAATCTAAAAGAATTCTCTACTTTTTTTTTGCCATTTTTGGTCCACTTGATCTTATCCAATAAAGATTTTTTAAAAAAATCAAGATTTTATATTAACTTGGAATCCTGGCTGTGGTTCTAGGGCTGGAAGGTGGGTTCTGGCCAGCCCTCCACTCGGGGCTCAGCGAGGGGCGAGGGTCTTGCTGGTGGGACCCCATTCCACTCGCTTCTGCTCTGCTTTCCCCGCAGTCGTGGTGTTTAGACGGTGTCAGCTTTTATTAAGATGAATTATGATCATTTCCATACAGCTGGGTGGCAGTTGTGGGAGTTTACATTATCAAAGCAAAACTCAGACTTGCTCAGCCAATTTAGATGTCAATGAAACATTTGTTACTTATTTTCAGTTTTATCATTGGTTGTAATTTATACTTAGAATTGAAAATGTTAACATGTGTGACTGAGTTTGTTTTAATTAAGTGTATAATTAGGCTAATGAACCTTGTGAAAATGTAGTGGTGCAATCCTTAATATAATCTAAGCAGTTAAATTTCTAATTATGCATCAAAATCATGCAAGAGATGCCGCCTTTCAGCAGCTTGCTTTCTGTGGCTCTTCTTCTTGCCCTTTTTTTGGGGAGGGTAAGAAGCCTTGTTCTGAAGCTGTGACAGGAGGCTTAAAAGAAATGTGTGTGTATCTCCTTGTGTTTTATTTTAGGAAGATTATTCAGGAGTGAGATCTGTACATCGTGGTCATAGTAATTTCCCCCTAAGTTTTGGAAAAGTTAGCAGAAACAGAAAGAGTAGATTTGGGGATGTTTCAGGTTGACCAAGAAGAAAGCCATTTGCTCAAAAAGCATCCGTGCCAAGCTGGGCTCACATGAGACTCACGTGGCGGGGACAGAGGTGCAGGGCCAATTCCCCTGAGCCCTGGCGCCCTGTCTTGGCAGACCCGCCCTCCCTGCGGCGAGGGACCCGCCCCGGTCCTCCTCCTGTGGCTGGTCGGCCCTGCCCTCGCTGTCCCCCCAAGCAGAGCTCGCCCGGCTCCTCCTCCTGCTCCCTCTCTGCTGTTTTTGGCCAAGTGGTTTCCTCCTCTGGTGGAAAATGGTTGCCTCTAATAAGGAATCCTGGTACCAGCGGCCAGGAAGGAAGATCGGTCTCCACCCCAGCGCAGCTGCTCGCCCAGGTGCTCGGAGCTTCCTGGCCTTTGTTGACTTTCCCTGAGGAGTGTGTTCCAGGAACACAGAACCATCGGTCCGCGAGCCTTTGTTTCTTCCCAACAAATTCTAGCTGCTGGTTGAATCTGCAGAACAGGTTCCCAGAGTCTGAGTTGAGTTGTGCCGCGTGAGCTGCTGCTGCCCCGGGAGCGGGGCATGGACATGCACCTGCCCGGCCCCACACGACCCCTGGAAGGTGAGCGGGCCTGGTGTTGAAGTCCTGAAGGGGGACTCTGGATCTCAGCCTGGCTGTGTGCTGTCAGCTCGGTTTTCTTGCCTTTCGTTGGATCATCTCCCTCCTTTTGTTGTCATTTTCACTCAGTGAAGCCGATGAGGTAGTTTTGCAGATTGTACCTCTTCCCTTTTGAGTCAGTCTGTTCGTGTGGAGAGCGTGCTTCTGACAGCGTGGTCGGGTGCCTCCATGCCAGCAGGCTTCTGACTCTCCTGATTCTGTCTGTTCCATTCATTCCCTGGTCACTCGGGTCATGGGGGTGCGATGCACTTTGTCGCTCAGGGTGGCATTCTCTCCTCTCCACTCCTCCAGCCCCCCCGCCCCCTCAGTTCTCTGCTCTCTGGTGCTGAGAAAGAGGGTTCTGGGATTTTTTGCGACGACTTCAACAGCTTTGGATTCTAAAACCTCATTTAATAAGCATCCGTGCCATTTCATGAAAGCGTGATAGTGCATTGACGTATGGTTCGTAACGTTTTTACTTTATGGTAGAATTACTCATGCGTCGGGCCACATGTGAGGGCTTGTTTAGAAAGACAAGCCATTCAATAAATGAAGCATGTCACACTTTTTTACTTTGGATCATTATTCTGGAGTGATTCCCAGGGGATCATTCTTTTTTCCCCAGGGGGAGAAAAAAGTAGATTTAAGAAAAGACAAATGATTATCTAGATGAATAGAAATACAAACCAAAATATTGCTGCCACTTGTAGAATTAAATCACGGCTTTCCAAGTTGTATTATTTAAACTGTCATAAATACTGACAGGATCCTTTGGAGGCAAATTTATACGTGTGAACAAATTACTGGTACTGGTTACCTGCTGAGTGATTTCCATTAAACCTAGTCTGTCTGTCTCTCTAAAAATCTTCTGTGGTCTGTTTTAGAAGGCACAGAATATTCCAGAATACATAAAGACATCACCATGGTCAGTCACTTGAGACCACAGATTTTCCCATCCTGGGAAATCACCCGGGACCTCGCTGATTAAGGGCTACCCGGTGAACTGGGGTGACCCTTGGTGGGGCATGTCTTCCCTCAGGGACGGAGCACATAAACCTCAAAGGAGCGTGCTGGTCCGCAGAGGCAGCTCTGAGCAACAGGCGTGGCACCCAGTCTCTGTGGCTCTGCAGGGACTGCCCGTGGGTGGCCGAGTCACCTGTCCTCTCAGCTGTTGTCCCTCGTGGATGCCAAGTGGCCCGGGGTCCCCTCCTGGTTCCACTGTCAGCAGTGAGAGATTTCATTTGATTTCTCTGATTATTTTGTCCCATTCAGCAAAGTCACAGGCAAATCTTAATGATTTGATTCCTTCGATAGAGCACTTTGTTCAGGTGCCCAGGGAAGCAAACAACCAGGAGGGCAGCTCTGGCGGACAGCTGGCGGGCTTGGGGCATTTTGGTTGTCCCTTAACCCTGGCGTGGCCCATGGGAGATTCATGTCCCGCCAGGTAGGGTCTCGGGCCGCTCATGCTCATGCAGGTGTGTCAGCGTCCAGCTTCTTACCTTTGAGCTGAGAGAGTTTCTATTTATTTAGCTCCAATATGTGGTTGCAAGTAACAAGAAATGACCTACGTGGTGGTTTTTTCATCAGTCACTAAGCTCCTTAGACTCTTACACTAGTAGTTGCTCATCCTCAAATAACAACATGACAAAAGGCGATGTAAATGTTATCTCTGATTCTTACAAGGAGGTATGTTAAACTGCAAAATAACAAGCACACATGTACACACACACACACACACACACACACACACACACAAAATCAATGGACCTTTGCTTCAATTCAGTTCATTTCAGTGAAGTCCTGTATTTGGTATAAATGACACTGTCTTGAAAAAATAGGATCCGAATCTAAATCTTGCCTCACTGATTCTATTTTGCAAAAAGCTTATTATAAATTTGAGACTTGTTTGCTTCAGCTAAACTCAGTCCCCCACTCATGCAGCTGTCACTTGTCAAGACCCCATTGCTTGCTGGGGGCTGGGGCAGGTACTGCTGCTGCCCCCCGACCCCCATCTTCCTGGGGCTTCCAGCAGGGGTAGGGATGAGGGGTCCGAATGAGGAACAGTAACGGGGAGTGAGATCTGAAAGAGGAAGGCAGCTTCCTGTTGGAGCATCTTTCTCCTGCAAAGCCCGTCCAGGGAACGGAGTGTATTTCGCTGCATGGGGTACACAGGCAACTGGGAATCGTGTCTTCAGCTTTAACTTAGGCAGCACTCTAAATTCTAATTCTGTCTATGTGGGCATTTTTGTTGATCTGTAAATATTAGGATTATAAAAGAAAATGCAAGCTTTGGACACGCTCATAAAACTTTTAACGTGATTCAGAATACATGCTAACCAGCGAGGAAGTCAGGGCGTTGGCACTAAGGGAAGATCCCCCCTCCTCAGAACGCTGTCGTCATGCGTGGCGTTGGCTGGCTGTCCCGGGGTGAGAGGAGCTTCCTTCCTGTCCGCCAGGGGGTCAGCGTTCTAGGCCAGGACATTTGTGACGTTTGCTTCTTTGTTCCCTCCATCTTGGTCTCTACAAGTCCATTCAGGCTTTTGTCCCCCACTGAGGTTTGAGTGCGTGTTGAAGAGGTGAGTGGTAACTGGCGGTGCCGGCGCTTGTCACCAGCGTCCTCCAGTTTCTTCAGATGGGAATGATGGCTGGCTTTTGGGGACCTGGCTGGTTCTGAAGTTCAGAGCACGAGTCCCTTTCAGACTCAGATGCCAAGGGTGGAGACTTCTACTTTGGAAGTCTTTCCGGTTTTCCTTCTCCTGTCTACCGTGTGGTCAGGTCGGCTCCTCCTCCTTCCCTGTCCTTGCACGGAAAGACGGGGCTGCCGTCCACAGTGTCCCCGCTGGCTTAGAGCAGGACACCGCCACAGCCATCCACTACGACACACCGTCCGTACTGCAGGCCGCGGCAGGCCAGCTCTGCTCGAAGCAGTCTGAAGCAGAGAGAACCGTGCGTTTGTTCCAGAAGCGTAGCACGACCAGACCAGCCAGAGACGATCGCCCACGTGTACCGGGAGGATCCCCTCCTGCACACCACTTACACTGTCGGGGCTTTTGTGTTGGTGTTGTTTTAAAACGTATGAATAGCGCTCTAAGGCACCCCTTCGTTGGGCAGCCTTTGTAAACGTGACACCTGCATTAGAGCAGGGGGGCCTTGTGCAAATACTCCATGTGTAATGACCTGCCTTCTTACTGTTCCAGGACCCTGGGGCTGTTAGTAAAGCGACTGGAGAAAGGTGGCAAAGCTGAGCAAGAAAACCTTTTCCACGAGAATGACTGCATCGTCAGGATTAATGACGGCGACCTTCGGAACAGACGATTTGAGCAGTAAGTGTGTGCTGTGCGCTGGGGCCTCGGACCCCGCATCTGCCGTCTCGCCTTCGTGCTATGGAGGGGCGTCTCCCGCCATTATCTGGCTTTTGACAGTTTAATCAAACTGCAGGTACTCACGGCCATGAGACTTTTTCCAAATGCCCTCTGACTGATGATACAGCACTTCTTAAAATGCCACGGGCCCAGGTTAGGCCTTACGCTTGGGCCACATCCTCGCCTTTGGGAAAATTCACCGGGTTACTGTTTTTTATTAGACTTTTTACTCCCGTTTTCAACTTTTTTGCATATACTGTCTCTCAGGACAAACAGGCAGACAGAGCTCCTCGGAACCATGTTGTCCAGTCGGATTTTCCTCATCCTGGCTCCAGCCCTTACTCAGTCAAAAAGATAAAAATTGTCCAGTTCGTATAAAGCAAGGCAAGAATGAGCAGAAATGATGAGCACACAGTTTAAGACCCGAGCAGGGACCCAGATGAGACGGAACAGCTCCTCAGCTGCTTGTGGGGTGGCCTGGGGACCAACACCCCTTTATGTTTTGAGTCGCTGAGGCTGCACCTGCGCTCCCGAGATGCTTGCGTGCACAGGCGTGGGTGGGTTTTTCTGATAAATAATGGAGAGTCGCTTTCTATAGTTTTCTATTTTTAAATCTAGTTCTTTGAAAACTCATTTGGTCCCCTGATAGGGAAGTATTGTATGATTCTTAGCAGGTGTAGTGGGCAATGTTGTAGAAAGAAGGCTCGGTTTAATTTCTGTTCACACTGGAGTGATAACACCTCTTGTGCTTAAGGGCACAGTGAGGGTTAATGAGTCACAGGTGAGTCACAGGTGAGGGCCCAGTGTTTTCCGTGTGTTCGTGGAGATCTTGTGACCTTTATTTAGAGAGTGAGAGATTTGTATTTGGAGAGGCTGCCCTGCCACCACCAGACCTCGCAGACTTTTATCAGAATTTGTGTCCGGCCTCAGCAGAGCCTGATTGTTGTTCAGGGAGGCCCACTAGCCTTCAGGTGCTGATTCTGCTTCCCTCGCAAACCCAGGGCCCAGCACATGTTCCGCCAAGCCATGCGCACGTCCATCATCTGGTTCCACGTGGT